AATCAAGATGCATAAGTATCTCCACAGAGCGTCACAGAGTTGCTGTCCACATTTTTGACTGTTTCAGTGTAAACACAGAGCAGCTGAGACTAGCAGGAGTAGTAAAAAGATGGAGGGCAGTAGCTCCTCTTTTCTGTTGCATTTACAGTTGAGAGTAATACAAGTTGCTGCAACAGCTGCCTGTGTGATCATGGCAACAACAGAAATCAAAGCGAGACAAATGCTACACAAGCAGATTTTATCTGTGATGCGTGCAGTGGACACACAGCAGAGAACAGATAGATGAAGGGGGATAGAGCAGGGGTGGGCAATCTCAGTCCACGAGGGCCGGTGTCCCTGCAGGTTTTAGATGTGTCCGCGAACCAACACAGCTGATTTAAATGGCTAAATTAGCTCCTCAACATGTCCTGAAGTTCTCCAGAGGCCTGGTAACGAACTAATCATGTGATTCAGGTGTGTTGACCCAAGGTGAGATCTAAAACCTGCAGGGACACCGGCCCTCGTGGACTGAGATTGCCCCCCTCCTGGGCTAGAGGATCATCCGCTTCAAACTTAGTAGACAGTTATCAGTGTATACAATTTTGGTAGAACAAGGTAATATATGTTGCTTTAACAGAATGTGAGTGTTAAAGTAAAAACACATAAAAGGAACAGCCTTGATGGAAAATGTTTGTAGAGACATTTGCCACAGAAAACATCAGCTTCAATAATCCTGCTTTTTCTGTAAAAACATTGGAGCTCTGTTAAGTATCCCCAAAAGGGAAGATGCACAATTAAAGCAATGTGCACTGAGCAAACAGGATCCTGCAGAGCATTTCAGGCTTGTTGACACATTCCTTAAAGAGTCAGAGTAGGCCTCCAGGCTCGAAAGAAGAACTCATTTAAGCCCATAACCGATGGACCAGAGGTGTCTGTCAGTCAAGACTGCTAATCTGCAAGAGATGGCCTCCACTGAATACAATATGTTGGCCCCCATCTGTAACTAAGTCTATCAATTTTTTCTGACTTGAACTAAATGTGGTACATATATGATACATGTAGGAGCCAAAAGTAAGAGTTCGTATTATGCACGAGGTTTCTTTTTCTTTTCTTTTGGTCAATTTAGTTCTCTTGTCTAAATGGACATCTCTATCTGAAGTTCTTATTAATCATCTTAAAAGACAACATTTACTTTTCACAGTCTCAAAGTTCTTAAGTTGTCTGGCACATTTTCAAGGATGTATTTGGGGTCCCAAAGAGATCTTCATCTTAGACAGATTAAAAAATACTAGTTGCTGTTTTCTGGCTAAATGAAGTCAACAACTAGTTGACCAGAGTAGACCAGACAGCAGCATTTCCTCGTGAAAGTTGTGAACTGATCTGTGCAGTATTTCTATTTGCTACTGGCTTGTAGTCCTGCCAATAGTAAGCAAAACTAGCAAACATCTCATCACTGCAGGAGCAGGAAAGGGAAAAAAAGCAAGAAAAAATCACTCTGGAGGTAGTTGTGCTGCAGTGTGAAGGGGAAATCTAGGAAATAAGGGGAAGATGGTGCACCCATTGTTGCTGTAACTGAGGATCCTAATGGAAGCATGAGCTACCTAAAATATATGATCACTGAGTGATCAGAGATGATTTCAAGCATTTTCAATTAGACTATAGGTCAAACTCCAAGGTTTAAATCTTAAATTGATGTGAAATAACCAGCCTTGTTTTTTGTGTTTCATTTACTTCTAAACTTTTAAACTAAGCAGCTCACTTTGAAAGACCCTTTATGTGACTCCCACACGGAAGCTTCTTATCTGACCTCCAAATATTTCCTCTTCATTCTGTGGTGTTTCTGTCTTGTCAAACATTCTGTTTCACATTTTGAAAGCTTTAATGGAGATGCTGTATGGCTTTGACCCGTAAGGCTAATTTACGTTATTGTGATGAAACAATTATATTACCATGAATAGACACTTTGCTGTGCTATAGCATAAAATGGTACAGGAAAACTTGATTTTAATGAGAGTTTTTCTGTATTTCTTGGACCAGCGGTGATTCGTCACCATTCATTACAAAACATTCAGTGGTCAGTCCCTGAGACCCACTAACCCCCTGCTCACATGCCTGTCCCCCTGACCCCTTTTCCTGCCTCCTTTCCAATCCAAATCTCAGCAGTATGCTCTGCCAGACAACCTTACTTAACAGACATCCCAGCAGTTGCTCTTTGTGTCTGACGTGGCAAAGTGCCACATCACATTACACTTCCTGCTTCCTTTTGCAAAAGGAGGAACGGCATAAGATTCACAGCACGGACCCCGTAACCTAGTTTTTTTCTTATTAACCGCAAACCTAGTTTGATTTGGGAGCCATTTTCCTCGGCAAGAAGCACACTACATTCAGACCAAAAGCTACAGGTGTGTTAAAGCTTACGCACATATAGACACACTCAAACGCACACATGTACATGTATGTCATCAGCCCCAACACCTGTGTGGATGTTGCCTTTGAAATTCTGGAAAGATATTACTTTTGAATCCCGTGGCCAGGTAACAATTCAGATCAGCTGGCTGTGAGAGTCCTCATAAAATTCAGAGAACTGTAGAATGTAAAAAGATCCCAAAACATAAAAGTCAGATAATAAATCGGCAGTCACTTCTCCCAGGTTGCTGTAATATAGACTTTACAAACCCAATCCATGACTTGTTCTTTTTAGAAAGAAGAGGGTTTGCAGAACATTTCCTTTTGGAGAAACGAGCCATAATTGTATAGTCTTTTTCGGATTGTCCCATCGTGAACTTTAACATGTCTTAAAATGGACTAAAATTGTTTCAAAATGGTCTTACAGCAAATATTAGTTATTAAAGATCATTTTGTTGTCTTTCCTTTCAGTAGCAGCACCTGCCTGGTACTTACCAATTTAATTCACTTAAACATTAAGGATCTAATTAGGTTTTCACACATGGTGGCTTGGTGTTGTTAAATGACTAATCAGACAGGGTAATATGTTAAACGACGCCATGTGTTGTTGTTCAACTGAGGTTGTATTTACCTAATAAAACAGGTTTACCTTCTTTTTTATGACTATATGAGCCAAATGCTTGGTTTCAGACAAAACTGTGAATCATGCGACCCTACAGCCCTTGTATGTTCCAAGAATAAAACCAGACAGCTTAAAATGAGAATAACAGCTCCGCTATAAGTATTTGATACTTTGTTACATGATGTATAAATGTTGCATTAGTGATTCTCAGTGAATTATGTAAGGAGTGGTTTAGTCAGTATCCCTACCTTAGTCTCATGAACTTGCCTTTACCCTTTAGAATGGTGTTCATATATAAATATGAATTGTCCACATATGTTTATGGAAGTTGTGCTTCTAATAAATCATAGAGCAAGCAGTGTCTGAACAGTTATTCAGGTGGCACTTAAAGTGGTAATGGTCTGTGGACAAAGTCTCACTGTGAATGCTTTACAATTGAAATCGATAATTGCATTCGTAGTCAGAACTCTGCCAGTATCATCTTTTCATAAAGGCAACACAAAAACCCAGTGGAGCATCTTTTAAAGACCCTTTCATCCTTTTAGAAACTCTTCATTCAAACATTGTATGAAAGCACAAAATGAAAAAAAAAAATTTTTTCAACGACCACACTTGCCCGACACACAACCCTCACATCATCTGCCAGTCCTGCAGTTGGTGACTAGCTTGATAAATGATCAAAATTATTTTGGGGACATTAAGAAGCGAAATGAAAATGTGTTTTCAAGTATTATTAGAGATAATTAGGTAGAACAGTTTGCAAATCATAGACCTTTAATGGATTACTCTTGTTCTGGATGTATTTGTGCAAAGATATCAGAGTAAGGACAGCATGATGGCGTGGTGGTCAGCACTTTTGACTCACTGGATCCTGGGTTTGAAACCACCATCTAGCCACCGTTGGGCCTTTCCGTGTAGAATTTGCATGTTCTCCCTGTGTCTGCGTCAGTTCTCTCTGGGTACTCGGTCTTCATCTCACAGTCCAAAGACATGTGAATGGTTGTCTGTCTCTCTGTGTTAGCCCCGCAACAGACTTGCGACCTGTCCAGGGTGTATCCTGCATCTCAGTCTATGGCAGCTGGCGTAGGCTTTCATAGAAGTACTGTCAGGCTGTCTTATAAAGTAAGGTCAAAGCTTTACAGTATAATTCTGAGAAACCTAGTTTCCACTCGAGAAAACACCTGATGACAACAGCTTTGAACTGTTAGATTGTTCGGACAGATGTAGATTAAGGCTGGGCCACTGGAGATAGAAAAGAGTGGAAAGAGGAAACAGATTCTACCCACTTCAGCAGCTTACGAAGCTGCTGTATGGCTAAGGTACTTTACATGTGCTACTAAATTTGAAGCATAATATGCTAAAGTTATGTACAAGAGCAAAATCTTATTTTTTAGCATGAAAAAATGCCGCAAGACATTAGTTCTCCATTATTATGTGTTCAGTTACAATACCTGGAGCATCACACAGCATGCCACAGTATGATGTGTGCTGCATGGATGTTACACACTTGTTGTATAAGATAACAACAAATTTGTTATTAACAAAGTCACGACAAGTGTGGTGGGGGGGTGGCAGCTGTATCTAAACCTGTCCTTATACTCTATTTTTGTGACATTACAGGTGACAGCTGCGCCTGTGTTACAACTGCATGCTTCCAACCCTCCAATTTGTGCTGCCCTTACGCTGGCCTTTATTGTACTGACTGTGTCTGTGTTCTTGAAGTGGTGCATTGTTAGGAGATAAGCTTCAAACCTTTCCACTCCCAAACTTTTCTGTTTTGCAATTGCAGCAGCATGCTAATCTCCCTGTTGTTTCATACAGTATAGTACAGTAGTATATTCAGGATGTAAGTTTAGGATATTATGGTAGTATTATACAGGCCTTAAATAAAGCAATTGCTCTACTTTTCTGCTTTTGCTGTACTGTGTATATAACCACTATATTCACCATAATGGGACCTGGTCACTTGTGATTTCTTTTTTTTTTCCTGTAGTATGACAGTGGCAATGAAGGCCCAGGCCAGGTGGGAGGTGATGGAGAGGACGGAGGTTTTCTACGCTGGGATAGGTCTTATGGTGTTTGGTACCCTTCTCGTAGTGAGCAGCTTCCTCGCTCTGGGATTCACCGGAACCTTCCTAGGTGAGTCCCAGACACAGTGTCAGATATTAAATGGACACAAAATTATTTTAGTCTAAATGTAACTTCCTATTAAAGAATACTGTACACATCACTGAAGAACAAAGATTTAAACTGTAAGCATCTATCCAGACTGGCATATATCAGCAGACGCTTGATTGCCATTGTTCCCAGAGGGTGAATCCCATGTTGTGGTGATTCCTCTTGTGACACTAAATGGTTTACATATGTAGTTTTTAATACAATTTTTTAACAGGTACTGAATAGATTCTTGCAGGCTGTTAACACACTAACCCAACCTTCAGATGCTAACGATCAGAATTTTATCAAATCAAGCCAGGTGGCTTTATTGTGCATGTGCAGTGATACAGTACACAGTGACACGAGACAGCGTTCCTCCAAGACCATGGTGCTACATATAACAGACAATCAACACATGACTACATAGTACAAGTGCAAGGAAGGACGTAGAGACACTGTTGGGCCTTCTTAGTTAAGGAGCAGGTGCTGAGGGACCAGGAAAGGTTCTCAGTCAAGTCAACGCCAAGGAATCTGGTGCTCTTGACGACCTCCACAGAGGATCCATTGATGTTAGGTGGACAGTGATCTCTCCGTGCTCTCCTGAAGTCAAAATTATCTCTTTTGTTTTGTCCGTGTTCAGAGGCAGGTTGTTGACTCTACACCAAGCATTAGCTGTTGCACCTCCCGTCTGTATGTTGACTCATCGCTCTTGCTGATGAGACCCACCACAGCCGTGTCATCGGCAAACTTGATGATGTGGTTCGAACTGTGCATTGCTGCACAGTCAGCAGAGTGAACAGCAGTGGGCTGAGCACACAGCCCTGAGGGGCTCCAGTGCTCAGTGTGGTGCTGTTGGAGATGCTATTACCGATCCGGACTGACTGATGTCTCTCCGTCAGAATGTCCGGGATCCAGTTGCTCAGGAATGATTGTGTTGAATGCAGTTTGGCCCTCGCTGTTCTGAGGGCTGCCTTTTCGCCTGCTCTGAAGGCGGACTCTCAAGTCTTTAGCAGCTCACACACCTCTGCAGTCATCCACAGTTTCTGGTTGGAGCGTATTGTGATAGTCTTGGACACAGTGACATCATTGATGCACTTGCTGATGTAACTGATCATAGATGATGTTTACTCCTCCAAGTTGGTGCGGTTGCCATTTGTTGCAGCCTCCCTGAACATGTCCCAGTCAGTGTGCTCAAAACAGAGATGGCACCTCACCTTTCTCAGAACCGGTTTGCAGCATCAGTGAGATTGTGGCTACAATAGCATGCAGATGTTAGCATTTACCATAAATTATAATTTTGCTCAGGGTTAAGCATTTCAAAACCCCAAGCATGGCCTTAAACACTTGTTTTGTGTTCACTTAACTGCATTAATTATAATAAAATCATATTTTTTTACAAACTATAAAACTATAAACTTTACAAACTATGAGCAAACAAAGCACCACATTGTGCTCTTGTACATGAAAGCTACAGTAAAACAGCCTTTAGTAACATTAAGGGATCACATGAGACACAGGAAAATGCAAAAGAGGACATGTAGTTCATGTCTCTAAAGACACATGAACTCTGACACATTTGAACAATTCATGCGCCCCAACATATTTCTCTGAATATAGTCGTTTTCATAACCATGATATGGCGTGTCCCAATATCTTCTTGTTTCCTTCTGAGACAAACACCTTTTCTTTTGTTCCATGTACTCCTGAACACATGCAGGCATTGTTTCAAATGAACATGAGCTCAAGATTGCCAGGACCATTTGGCATGCAGTAGCTTCTGTTTTTTTTAGGTCAGTCGACTAAATGAGTCATCTTCAAGAACCAGACAGATTGTCTGAGCTTCTTCAGCATATTTGTCCATCGGTGCACTGAAATGCCCTCAGTCCATCACTCCGCTTCAAACTAATCACTATCTGTGACAACAGAAGGGAGGCAGGAGGAACAGCAGGACGTGCCAGGAATGTGCATGTATGATAACAGGAGTCTACTTTGTATTCGGAGTGGACAAGCCGGTCGCAAAACGCTGTTTGCAGGTTTCACTCTCCAACCATTTGGAACAATAAATTTTGCAGTTATAAAACAGGAACAATTCAACTTTCAGTATACCTTCAAATAAAAAGCAGTAGTAAAAGCCACATGTCTGGCTGCTGTTACATTTGATGTTTGTGCATACAGTCCTCTGAAAAACTATGGACATGCTGGCTCCCTCCATAGGATAGGGGGTAAGTAGCAGCCAGGCATTACTAATCAAATGCACATGAATAAATAATAATAAGTGTAAACTCCCTGTTGATAACCAGTTAATCAAATGCAATTAATTAGCAGGGAAAATTGATTGATGATATGCCAAAATGTCTATAAAATCAGAGGTTTTGGCAGTTTGGTGACGTGTAGAAATGTTTTTCTTTTCCCTAAATTTAACAATTTTATCTCATCTTGCGTGTTACTGTGTTCTCTGCACTTTCATTGTACTGCCTGTCTGCTTGTCTAGTAACAATAAAGTGAATTGAATAGAATGTTTATCTGTTCCTCCGTAACCATGTCATAGACTGATAAAGTCATAAAGAGAAACAATTACTTGAAGCTCTTGAATCATGGGATGTAATTCATTTTTCACAAGACTGCATAGAGAGCTGTGAAAACTCTTTTTAAATTGTATGTTTAATCGAACATTCAATTTTTTTTTCTACTTTGAATACAAAAAATCTGAATGAACTGAAATGTTTTAACCATTTTTTTTAACGATCGGTTGCACAAAACTGAGAAATTTTCGACAAATGACAATAGCGTCACAGTAAGTCTCTTTCTGTGGTCAACACTAGACCTTTAGAAAACAAAAGATCGCAGCAACAAAATAGGACATCAAGCAAGAATTAATGAGATAAAATAAAACAACTAAAAATTAAAAAGGTGCTTTTTGTGTTTATAATGTATAAAAATTGTAAAATAAAAAAATGTGATGACCTCAAATTACAGAAACAAAAGTGTAGATGGTGACGATTAAAAAAACAAAAAACAAAAGCTACTGACCAGTCATAGGAGTCACTACTGGTTTATTTAACATTTTCTTTGGTGTGTGGGGAGACGTTGACATGCAGAATTTTAAACAGTGTTAATATGGCAGTGGATGACCTTTCAGCTGGTGGAATACAGTGGGGCAAAAAAGTATTTAGTCAAATCAAATCACTTTTATTGTCACATCACATATGCAGGCACACTGGCACAGCACATGCGAGTGAAATTCTTGTGTGCGAGCCCCACAAGCAACAGAGATGTGCAAACACAACAACACAAACGAGCAAA